GTCCAGGAAATTCAAGCAAATGGTTCGGGGTATATTTGAGAGGAAAATGACATTTGCTTACAACAATAGAAACACTTATTAATTAGGCAAAGATGTGAAATGTAGAGTAAGGGGCAATTTTCATGTTTCTTTTGCTAATCTTGCCAAGGTAGATTATGGATATCTTAATAAAGCCAATCTCCTTTCCCTTGGCCATTTGATCTCCTTTGAAGCTAAACAGGTTGGATATTTTCCATTTACCCATGCAGTTTCCTTCTCTACCCTTTTTGTGTCCCAGGAAACTAGCCAGTGTAGATTGCACTGAAGGGTTACTTTATCTCTAGCTTTCACTGGGTTTGACGCATCTGAGGCACTGGCAGGAGTTTGAAGGATAGGAAGAAATTGATACCAAGATCTTTATTTGCCCTGCCTTTCCCCTGCTGGTTCACCAACAGGTTCCTTTCTTCCTGTCTGGAGCTTTCTTTATACAGCTCCTCCATGCCTTCTGTGTGTGTGTTCCTTGAAATACTGCCTCTTGACCCTTTAAGCCTAGGGTGCTAAAAGTTCCTTTCTGCTGTAAGCCCCAGAAGGCTACACTATCACTTGTTCCCTTCCATAAAACCTACCCTTTAGGCTTCAATTATCCAGCTTAACTCTGCTTTCCATTTCCTGCTGGGAGCCTGCCTTAAGATGCCATTTCCAAAGACACAATGGTTTCCCAGAGCTGGGCTCTTCACTGAGCAAAACTCAACAAGTCCTTTTATTCTTATTTTTCTGGGTCCTTTGGAAAAGCAGGGCTATTTGGCAGGAAGTACCAAGAGCCCTGAGAATGTATCTAACCTTTGACCCCATAACTTCACCTTGAAAATTTTTCCTAAGGAAAAAGTCTGAAATATTTAAGAATTTAAAAAAAGATTTATGCAAATATGTTTGTTATTAAAATGATCAAAAACCATAAATGATCCACACTCCATCCTAAGGGATGCCAGCTATCTTTTGTTTGCTCCACCAGCTTTCCACTCCACTACGCTCTCTGCCTTGAGGGGCCAGCCTGCCTGGACCCTGCCATAGCTCCACTACCCTCTTGCTTAGGGATGGGCTTCGCCCATGGTACATTTTAGCAGGACATCAGAGAACGGGAAAAGAATGAAGTAGGGGCAATTATTCTTCCTGTCCCTTCTGTGCAAATGACCTCAGGCTGGCTGTGACTCTTGAGCAAAGGTGACAGAACTTGCCAGGTAATATCCACACACTCAATTTCTCGGGGTTTAGTAATGCACCCTTCTTTTACTCTTTGAAGCCTGAGGATAGTGACGAATCTCTCCATGGTTTCTAACTCAAGAATATAGCATTATCACTGACACTCTACCCCCATGTTTATAAATAGCCTCTTTATTAACAAATTCTCCTCAAATTACCCAGTTTGAGTAAGCTATCTGTTTCACTGCCGAGAATCTGGTGGAATAAAGGAGCATATTTAAGTAAACTGAATAACAAACTCACTAGGGAATAATATATAACGTGGAAAGATGTTCATGAAGAATGCATATTAAAAACAAAAATGGTAGATCCAGTACATAACTGGAAACTACATAAAAATATGGCAAATAAAATTCAGCATAAAAATGCAATATATTCCTCAAATTTTCTATAATAAAAAGATACTACTTTTTAAATGAAAAATTTTTATTTAAAGATTACTTAAAAGTGAAAGCTACTGTAATTATGCCAAGAGAAATCCTGAAAGACTTGGTAGAAATGGCATTAGAAATTATTCTTAACAATCAAGTGGGACAAATGGAAAGGAAAAAGGGGTAGAGGAAACATGTCCAGCTGATGTTAAGTCCTGTGAAAAGGCAAGTGAAAGTGCTTATAGAAAATCAGGATTCTCTTCTGTAGAGCATAGGGTAGTCAAGGGAGATGTCATACAAAATGGTGCTGGGAATTGTGATTTGGGGCCAGAATATTCAAGGTTTCATAGTTGATGCTAACTAAAGTTCTCTTTCATGGCTTAAAGAAAGCTGGGGAATAGCATAAGAAGAACCATAGAAAGGTTTAAGAAAAGAATAACAAGTTTAGATTTGGGTTTCAGAAGGAAAGCTCCCGGGTGCTTGGGGGGCTGAGGTGGTTAAGTGTCTGCCTTTGGCTCAGGTCATGATCCTAGGGTCCTGGACTTGAGTCCTGGGTCAGGCTCCCTGCTCCACAGGGAGTCTGTTTCTCTCTCTCTCTCTACTGCTCCCCCTACTTGTGCTCTTTCTCTCTCTCAAATAAATAAAATCTTTTTTTTTTAAGATTTTATTTATTTATTCATGAGAGACAGAAAGAGAGAGAGAGAGAGAGAGGCAGAGGGAGAAGCAGGCTCCCAAGGAGCAGGAAGCCCGATGCGGGACTCGATCCCAGGACCCCGAGATCATGACCTGAGCCGAAGGCAGACGCTTAACCATCTGAGCCACCCAGGCGCCCACAAATAAATAAAATCTTAAGAACAAAACAAACAAACAAACAAAATCCCTTGATAATCTTCTCTGCTAGTTTAGCTTGAAAAGGGTTCAAATGACCAAAATATCATTGCATTTTTTGTTGTTATTGTATATCATACTGAAATGTGCATCTTTATAAACAATTTTCTTGTATTTCTGAATCTTTGGAAGACTAACTTCCCAGACATGAAATTAGTGTCGCACATTAATCTACTGTAGAGTAAATGTTTTCTTAATGATTTGTATGAACACATTCTATGATATTATTTATACCCTTTTCTGAAGTACATATAAACACCTAAGTTTTAAAGAAATCATCATCAAACTTACTGATTTGTTCTTTTGAAATTGGATAAATAATCTTTACATTTTAGAGAGAAATTTTATTGCCAATATCAGAAAAAAATAGAAATAGTCTTGTAGTTTTATGCTTAAGCCCTTTAATCCATCATGAATGTATTTGGATATACAGTAAATTTCTAAGTTAATATTGTTT